CTGCACTGAAGTCATATGCTGTAAAAATTTTTATGGTGATTATAAATGACACAAATGTGAGCTGTTGATATCCAAATAGTAGCCTTAAAAAGGCTGTATTATTTTAGATGAAAGTAAAGAATCTGGTGAGAAGAGAGGAAGACCCTGAGATGCCCCTGTGATTTACAGACATTTGACCATATTCATATGGCTGATTTCACCAAATAATCATGTTATACAGAGCCACCCAATTCTGCAATCAACCCTATATTTAACATAATCCAGAGAAATGTATAAAGTAGGAAACCCAGAGAATGTGCTTACCAACAAATAAATAAATGCTAAATACAAATGGAGACACTGCAAAATGTTTATTGTAATAGTTGAGAAAGTTACCCAAACCATGGACTCCCCATGCCTACTCTTCTTCCTCACTCCCGTTCTGCATCTCTGTAAATTCTTTTCATCTTCAAACACTTACGATCATACTATGGTACTATAACATTTGTTCAAGCCTCATATTCAAAGTTCAGCTTTTCTTCCCAAAGACTTAACCTTTTCAAATATTTTATGTCACTAAATTTTAGAGCATTCTGATGTTTAACTATTTCTAAGACAGTCAATCTTTTGAAATATGTTGAGCCCGTTTGGTCCCGCTACTGATTCTAGAGGAAACAAAACATGTTAACAATGCAAATCTAATTTGTATGGGTCACATGGTACATAAACTTTAATAAAAATATTATGTAATTTTTTTCCATGTTCTCTGTAGGGCATACTTTACATCTTTATTTCTCAAACTGTAGATCAAGGGATTCAGCATAGGGATGACCAAAGTGTAAAATATGGAAGCCACTTTATCAGTGTCTAAGGAATGACTGGACTTGGGCTGCACATACATAAATATCAAAGTCCCATAGAACACTGTGACCACTGTCAGGTGGGATCCACAGGTGGAGAAAGCCTTGCGCCTACCCTCAGCAGACTTCATCCTGAGAATGGCTAGGAGGATGAGCAGGTAGGACACAAGGACAACAAGAAGAGAGGAAATCAAATTAAAAGCTGCTAAAATCTGATTCATCACTTGAATTTCATGTGTATTGGAACAGAGCAAAGATAACAAAGGGACGCTGTCACAGTAGAAATGACTGATGACATTGTAGCCACAGAAGGGTAAAGTAAAGATTTTTATGGTGATTAGAAGTGACACAAATGTGCAGTAGACATATGAGACTGCTACTAGAACCCAACATAACCTCTGTGACATGATGACAGTGTAGAGGAGAGGGTTACAGATGGCCACATAACGATCATAGGACATTGCAGACAGAATAAATAGCTCACAAGCAATGAACACAAGAAAGAAAGCTAGCTGTGCAGCACAAAAATAAAAAGAGATGGTATTTTGATCCACAACAAAATTTGCCAACATTTTGGGGCCCACAGTTGTAGAATAACCAAGATCTGTAATAGCCAGGTGCCTGAGAAAAAAGTACATGGGTGTTTGCAGATTTTGGTCCACTTTGGTGAGGATGGTCATGCCCAAGTTGCCCAACACTGACACCAGGTAGATGATGAGGAACAGCCCAAATAATGGAGCCTGCAG